AGCAGGGAGCCCGATGCGGGACTCGATCCCAGGACTCCAGGATCATGACCTGAGCCGAAGGCAGTCACTTAACCAACTGAGCCACCCAGGCACCCCGACTGCATTCTTTCTAATAGCAATATCAATATATGAAATGGGCAAGTACTGATATTAATCATCACACTGGATACTCTGCATTATTCAGCATCAAGTGGACTTTTTGTTCATATGTAAATCACTCCACAAGGAGTCTTTCATAGTCTTCAATCTAGCTTTTACCATTTGAAAATAAAAAGGCACAGATTTAGTGGGTGTGTGCTGATGTGGGTGTGTATCTGGTGTGTGTGTGTTTGTTTATAGTTCTTTAATTCAAAGTCAATACTACATTCCAAATTTAACATACTTCAACATACTGACCAAATTACCATGATCCTAATAATGAAGTTATCCTGAGTTTGACTGATTTTTATTTCCCAGGATGCAGTAAAACAAATACATTCATCAAGTTACTACTGAGCAGTTTAATATGTATATACGCTAAATGGGATTCATGAAGTTCAACTCCAGCACCAATGCTTAACCCTTCTAGTGAACTGTGCATTCCTTACATCCAGACCATACTTTTTAAATGGAAGCATGATTCTCACATGGCAATTACTATCAACCATCCATCAGCCTTCACACAAACCATGTCTTACCTTTCCCAATTCTTGGACTAGCAACTCTGGATAGCACTCCTTTCACCATTTCCTTGCCCTGAAGAGCTAACTATGTACAACATCTGTAGTTTAATAATCTATGTAGAAAATTTTGCCCTGAAACTAATAATACACCATATGTTAACTTGAATTTAAATAAAATCTAAAAAAAATCATTTTTTAAATTTTGCAAATATTGAGCATTCTTCTGAGTTTTAGAGCGATGTGTCACAGAAATAGTAAAGTATAGTAAACATTTGCAAAGCCTCAATAATAAATTACAAAATGAAGTCACTGTGAACTGCCAAGAGTTATAAAAAAATCTGAAGACTGTTCCTCAGGTACCCTTTGGTCAATTCAACCTGTAACACTACCTTAAGGCCTCAATTACATTATCCATTTATTACCTGAATGTTTGCTCTTGGTGCAAAAAGAATGCAAAAGTCGTCATTCTCAGTGGGCGCACCTGCCATTGCATCACTAATCAAGTGGTGTGTGAATGAGGGGTAAGGAGGGCCAGGCTCCTGGGACGTGTTCCCACTCTCATCTGGAAACAGGAAGAGGTCTGAACAACATGGCTCCTGAGTTTGAGATTTTTCATCCAGAACACCTAAGTAAAAAAGAATACAACACTCAATTTTGGCACATTTTGAACAGTAATGCTTAGTAAACATTTTAACCACATGTCAGATACACACTATGTTGAAATGTTTTCACCTGCAATATCTCATTTATTTCTTACAATAACCCTCCGACTACTAATAAAAAGACTGATAATAAGTTTGAAGTTCTCTAGGAGAACAGTAAATGATGGTCTCATAAAGTCATAGCGAGTCTCCTCTTAAGTTATTTCGCATTAGAGAAGCTCAGAAATATGGCAGCAGGGGTTAGTGTTGACTGGAGTTTTGTTTAAGCCAGAACTGCATTCTGACAACTCTGTCCTGTGGGTGGAGATGTGGAAACTTCCGGAGCAATACTGCAAGGGGAGGAACAACTGGTAACATCTGGCAGTGCCTCCCCTAAAACTACAGGAAATCTCTGCTTATAGAGGGGAGGGGGGAAAACAGAGGCCAAGCAGGTCTCTGGCCAGAGAGTGGTGCCCTACAATCAACAGACTACTTTGTGGGGCACTGGATACCCAACGGGCCACCTGTTCTCAGGTAGCTGTCAACGTGGTTCACAAAAGACTGCATGCATGACAAAATCTGTACTGTGAACATACACCTTTATGCATTTTTAATACATAGTAGATCCACTAATTCTTTCTCCATTCCGTCAGTCATTCCAATCACTGTGATAAGGACTGAGAACGTGAAGATGAATAATATATTTTAGCCTCAAGAGGCTCACAGACCAGATTTTAAATTCTTCTATGGCAGCACCTTGGACTTACTCATCCTTTATAAATGCCTGGTGCACCTGAATATTGAAGCTGTTCAGTAAATATTCACGAAACATTCTTTCCCACCTAAGTAGGTTAGCTGCAATTATTACAGATAATGTAATATGCAGGAAGCTAAAAGTTCCTATTTCTTTCCTGAGTTCTAATTTATGCTAAATTAGAATAAAAGCAACAATTTAACCCTAAACTTTGATAATACCATGAAATAATTTTTTAAAAATTAAGATTTCAGAACATATAGAAATGACTATGTATTCAATTAGAAAAAAATATTTTTTAGATAGATGCTTCAAAGTATTTAGATGCTTCCAGCTGGCTTTCAAGGCTCTCCCACTGGCTGGTTCCTCCCTGCTTATCCAACTTTGCTGGCCAAGTCTTTCCAATGAGAAGGGAGCTTCTGTTCCAGTAAGAGCCTGAGCTGCAAGATAATTAAGGCTTCTGCATGCTTCTGTGCCTCTGTCAACATTCATGACCTTGCCAAGACTACCTTCTCTCTCCCCTCCACATACCTAAACCCCAGCCACTCTTTAAAATTAAGCCAACTTGAGCGCCTGGGTGGCTCCGTCGTTAAGCATCTGCCTTAGGCTCAGGTCATGATCCCAGGGTCCTGGGATTGAGTCCTACATCAGGCTCCCTGCTTCGCAGGAAGCCTGCATCTCCCTCTCCCACTCCCCCTGCTTGTGTTCCTGCTCTCGCTATCTCTGTCTCTCTCAAATAAATAAATAAAATCTTTAAAAATTAAATTAAATTAAGCCAACTCCTCTCACTTTCACTGAAATCTAATGAGACAATTCCAATCCCTTCCAACCGGTAGTTGAGGATGTGACACACTCTGAAGCACTTTCTCATGTCATTTCTCAAACATTCTAAGTAAGAACATCAGTCTGGCTTAGTGCCAATCTGTGTTATGAAACTCTAAGCTAACAGAACAGATAAGCTTTGTCTTTCATTTAATCTGTAACCCCCACAACACCCTGGCCAGTGGTTATTTATCTACTAGACGCTCAATCAACACAAGCAGATTGACTAATAAATATCCACCAAACCTCAGACTTGTCTTTTCTTTAATAAGTTACTTACTGCAGAATTTGTAAGTGTACAAATAACATAAGCCTCAAGTGAGGCCCCAGTGCTCCTGGGGAGGAAGGCCCGGCCCGTCCTACCGTTAGCTTGGGCTTGCGCGGATGCAGCGGCCTGCTGCAGGTCAACCTCCTCCATAGCGTCACTCATCAGATCGCGTAACATCTGCTGGTCTGCTTCAGGAAGTACTGGACCCTGTGAGGAGGAGCGACCGCTGGAATCTACCTACAGCCAAAACACCTAATTAAAAATAACTGAAAATGGGCGCCTGGGTGGCTCAGTTGGTTAAGCGACTGCCTACGGCTCAGGTCATGATCCTGGAGTCCCAGGATCCAGTCCAGCATCGGGCTACCTGCTCAGCAGGGAGTCTGCTTCTCCCTCTCCCGCTCCCCTCTCTTGTGCTCTCTCTCTCTCTCAAATAAATAAATAAAATCTTAAAAAAAAAAAATAACTGGGGCGCCTGGGTGGCTCAGTTGGTTAAGCGACTGCCTTCGGCTCAGGTCATGATCCTGGAGTCCCAGGATCCAGTCCAGCATCGGGCTACCTGCTCAGCAGGGAGTCTGCTTCTCCCTCTCCCGCTCCCCCCTCTTGTGCTCTTTCTCTCTCTCACTCTCTCTCTCAAATAAATAAATCTTTAAAAAAAATAAAAATAAAAAAAAATAACTGAAAATGCTCTAAGAAGCAAACTACTCAGCATGATGTTGTCCTAGAAACACAAGGCATTTTACAAAGACACCAGAAACAGGAACACAGCCATTGTTCCACCTTCTGCCCTGCAGCTGTAGCCTTCTAGGTTGTTAGCATCATCATCACCCCAACAACTACTGGCCAACAGAAACAAATGCGCCATCACCTCAAAGCCAGCACCATGAGCCGGGACGGTGAAGAGCACACACACTAGAGGACAAAGGAGCTAAGAACACTGCAGTGAGGCCTGGGGAGGAGCAGTCTCCTTCTGCAGAGCGGGAGCTGCTCAAATCTGGCAGCTGCACCAACTCTCACCCCCTGGACACAAAGCCGCTGGCGGTCAGAGTCTCGTGTCCTGGAATGGACGGACACCGAAGGATAGTAGGGGGCACACAGAGCAGGGGAAATCAACTAAGTGGGGACTCATGGGGTTCAACTCCAGCGCTGATGCTTAACCATTTTGGTTAGTGAACTGTGGGTTCATTAAATCCAGACCATGCTTTTTAAATGGGAGTATGACTCTAAAATGGAAAGATCCAATTTGAAAGGGATCATTTAAAATAACATTTAATAAACTGGAGAATGTTTATACAAAGAAAACAAACAGTGGAGAGGGAGGGTCATGAATTGTCTTCTTGTCAGTGAGAAGAGAGCAAAAGCAAGGAGTCAAAACCCAAAGCATAACACGAATGAAGTGTAAGAGCATCTGAACAAGACAAGGACCTTCACTAGGGGCTCCATTATCTAAGAGACTGAGAATCCTGTTCACAGAACGGGCCACGATAAAGAAAGAAAAAGCACTAAAAAGTTAAAAATGCTAAACAAACCGGACATCGTTCAATCTGTACCTAAGAGAGGACAGAGAGGTGACAGTTGGGGGCATAAGAAAGCACCGACCCAGAAATCAAAGTATCTGGTTTTGTTGCTAATCCTACTAATTTGGGCAAATAGCCTAATTCTCTGGGTTTTAACTTATTCATCTGTAAAACGGAGATGATAATCTTTAACCTACCACACTGAATTCAAAGAAATCACAAACGAGAAAATATACTGAAAACCCAACAGAATCATATGTAACAAATAAAAGATAACCTAAGTCTTCTGGTAATAACACTAACACTTGTACCTCTCCTCTCCTAAGCATTTTTACATACGACTGGCACAGAACAAGCTCTTGCAATGCTAAATGTTTTCTTTCTTCCTGGAGGGGAGATGAAAATAATTCAAGTCTGGAAGAAAGTATTCTGTGGGCTGAGAAGATTAATGTTCTGAAACAAAGAACACCAAACAGCAGAATGGTTTTCCAAGAAGGCCTACGGAATCACCTTTCCAGACGCATCACTCTGAAGGTAAAGAACAGACAGGTGATTTTTCAGTTTCTTTTCTACCTCATGACTGTCATGAAGACCTCGCTGACGCACACACATCACGCCCATGGCTGCAAGGTGTCTGGGGTGAGTTAGTTCTAATAAAAGATGTTGCTGGCTATACCTTCATCTTTCTGTGAGAGGCTCCAGGCTTCGTCTCCACCTTGTTTGCTGCGTGTAAGTCCCCATAGCTTGCAATGTACTGAATGAGATTCATTAAAGCAGCACAAGAGTCTGAGCACGTTCTGATATGGACAGTGTCACTGGAACAGTGTAGCTCGAAGCGCGGCTCAGTCTGGATGGACACAAGGGAAAAGAAAGGAACAGGTTTTTCAAACAAAAGCTAAAAATTTCTTGTTTTGCATAGGCTTACATTAAATAAAACAGAATAGAATTTTACTTGCCACAAGAAATACATATTTATAACTATATCCTAATTTTAAAATATTTTATCTACTTTTGACCAAAATAATTTTATAATAAATTCAATTATTCTTTAGTCTCTCTTATAAAAAATAGGGGTCAAGGGCGCCTGGGTGGCTCAGTCACTGGGCGTCTGCCTTCGGCTCAGGTCATGATCCCAGGGTCCTGGGATCGAGCCCCATGTGGGGCTCCCTGCTCGGCAGGAAGCCTGCTTCTCCCTCTCCCACTCCCGCTGCTTGTGTTCCTCTCTTGCCATCTCTCTCTGTCAAATAAATAAATAAAATCTTTAAAAAAAAAAAAATAGAAGTAAAAATTTCTTATTTTAGTAACTTACTTGCTCTCCATCAGAATCAGATTTCACTGCAGTTATGGTTAATTCCAAAAGCCCCATATCCATCACACGAACATAATCTAAAATTTTTTAAATTAACAAAATATCTGAGTAAAGCTTTCAAAAAATACGTATCCAACCAACACGTAATAAAACTAGCATCTCTTTAAAATTCATGGCAGTTAGTGGTACAAATATTTAGAATGGAATGGAAATATAGTTTCATCCTACAAAAGTCCTACAATTCCCTTTTTTTACTTAGGAACAAAATTAATCTTGTATTAAATAGACTACATATAATTTGATGCACTTAACTGATGTTCTAAGGACATTACAACTTCAAACTGGTATTTAATAAGATCCTTAGTTCCACAGCATTATTCCAGAGTTCAAACGCTCTAAAATATTCATACAAAAACTAAAGAACATTCATCTATCTCAGATTTTGTTTTTCAACTCTTACCTCTATTCAAATTTATAGTAACAGTATTACACTTGTCAGACAAATGCAAGGCAGCTTCATCCAAGATTATTCTGAGGAAAGAATATAAAATCAACATCAAAAAATTAACTTTGAATACATGACACATGATCATGACATACTTCATTGTATCATTCTTCTGATATACAAGTTATCAAAGTCATGTAGTTTCTTACAAGTGGCATCTAACATTTCCTTAAAACTCACTGTTTCTGAGTGCTAGAAATATTTAAATGGTGTAAAGAATGAGACTGAATCATCAGCTCAAATTAATTTTAAATTTTCAGCATTTTTTAATAGATCTAAATTATCTAAATTATGAAAATAAAGTGTTATCAGGCAGTATAGGAAGTTTAGATTTCTGTTTTTAAAAGTAAACTATCAATCTCAAGAATTCGTTTCCTCCCTAAAAATAAAAAACAGTGATAAATTGAAGAGATGGGACGAATCATTCGAAAATGAAAAATTGAAAACCTGGATAAAGGGACATGACTACGAGTAAAAGAATGCTGATTTTTAACAAAAGCGTGGGACTTCAAAGACTTCAGCTGAACAACAGTTAGTATGTTTGGAACAGCTGAATTTAGCAGACAGTTAAGTTTACCCAGGCACCTGAGAGTAGATGAGGATTTGTCCAAGGCCACACTACTGGAAACGCTGAAGGTTTCCACAGTGAGAAGAGATCGAATCGGCAAATAAAGAGGCCTAATACCAAAAAGAAACAAACAATATCAGTCTGCTAAAACAACAGAAACTCCCTTAAAAGAGCATTTTGAACCTAACTCTACAATTTGAATTACGCATTTTTTCAAAACAGTACATATTTTGAATAAAGCTTTATTTTGTTCCACTTGTGAACTGACCTATAATCAAGTGCACAGCTCCAGAGGTGAACGTGAAAAGTTGTAAACGAAGTTGGAGGATTATATCCCAGAACAGGTTCATCAGCAATATTCAAGAAGTATAAAATCTGTAATCACAAAAATATAAAATGTCCTGCTTTAGAAGAAAAAAAAAGTTGTGACCAGGATATCTTTAGTACCAATGTAAAATATCTCACAGAAAAAGCAATGATTTATTGGGGGGGAAAAAAAAATCAATGCTAAAAGGAAAAAAAAAAATCATCATTTTGAAGTAATTCATTTTAAAAAGTATTTGCAAAACCACTCGAGTTTGAAATGAAGAGAGAGTCCCATCTGACAACTGCAATGCTACAGAAGTCTTGAGAAAATTGTATCTTCTCAAAGATATGATTCATATCAAAATCATTATACAAACTAAAGTATGTATAATATGCTATGCTTGCATATTATTTTGCTTGGGACAATTCTTGAAAAAAATAAACTTTGCTAAAGATTACTTAACACTCCATCTGGTTGTCTACGTAATCCACTTTTGGGAAAAGTTATTTTTCCTTAAATTATACCTAGCTCAGTCTGAAAACCAGATCCTCTTACTAACATCCATTCTCCTGTATTTCTATCTAAATGAGGTTAGATTAAACCTCCCCCTTACAACTGAGTTCAGTGTTCACATCAACCATCTCTCTACCCTTGCTACACAGATCTAGGTCTCCTCAGGTCTCCTAAATGCTTTTATGAAAGCACTCTGAAAACTTTCAGGTATAAAATATTTTATTATTTTCCAGCACAAAGAAAAAGCTCCTCTTTCTAAGGAAAATGAACAAGAGTCACAGTGTACTAATTTTCATTCTCAATAGAAAAGAACTGTATTGCATTAATCAAACACTGGAGATTAATTACAGAAATCTCTATAAATGCCTCGAAGCATGTCACTGGCCTAGGGAGTAACTGTGAAATGACGGCACGTACGGAGTGAGCATAAGTCAGTGCATCACCTGCTGCTCCTCTGTGCCTGGTACTCTACAGGTTCTGGGACACGGAGTCCCTTCCCTTAAACGACTTAAAAGATAACTCTGTCTTTGAGATGTTTAGGGTCGAAACTTTAAGGTAAAAAATCAATTTCGTTCTGGAGTGGTGATAATGTTCTATTTCCTAACCTAAGAGGTGGTTATATAGGAGTGTTTCCTTCAACGATATTTCTATGCACACTGATCATTTCCGATTTGTGACTTTACAGTCTGTGTATTACATGTCAATATAAAGTAAAAAGTAAATCAATATGTACAAAACAACTCGTACCTGCTCGTGCCAGCTAAGCCCAGAAGGAAGCATTCTGTGCTGGAGTGTGGCTCCTTTCAACCCCACAGCAATGAGAAATTCCTGTAAAGACGACACAAAAAGTTACACTGATCACCTACATGACCCTCTAATTCAAAACTTGGAAAGTTTTTCTAAGAAGATAAATGTGTTGCTTTTATGCAATCACTTTTAGCTAGTAATCAAATGAACGGCAAGTCTTTAATGGTATAAAAGTACAAATCACAAACCTTCGTATTGGACTCTGATTTATCAGATAGTATTTTAACTGCAACAGAGAGCATATTCAAAGTGTCTCCTGCAACACCATCTGAAGAAGCTCTACTGAGGCCATCTTCTTCAGAGGAATAAATAGTAGGTTCCAACCAGTGTGGGCGGGTTGAACTGGGCAGTCGTGTTTCTATAGGAAGAATCACTCCATCTACTACACCTACATCGACAATGAGGTGACAATATAACAAAATGATAACCTGAAATTAGTTCACAGACGTTCACAACTCAAAAAAAAATCCATATACTCCCACTGAATATACTATAATCCTGGAGGCAAAATGACCAACAACCAGCTTGGCATTAATAATCCATACCTCTCTGCTAATGTTGGTATGACTGACAGTACTCTAAAAAAAAAAAAAATTAAGATGAAATGCTAGGAAAATTAAATAGAAAAATCTGATAAGCATTAAGACTGTGCAAAGTATTGTTTTTTACACTTTGGGGGGAAAAAAAGAATGTGTATCTTCCATTCACAGGGTAACAGGGAATGTGCTCAAAAGATGGTAAATTCCTTTTGTTACCAAAAGGAAATGCTGCTTAAGAGAGAGTAATGAATATAAAGTCCCATCAACTCATCAGTGGATAGTAAGATACAGCACATCCATAAAATGGAATATTATTTGGCAATAAAAGAAATAAAATACTATTACACTCGGATGAACCTTGAAAACATCATGCCAAATTAAACATGCCAGTCACAAAAGACTATATATTATATCATTCCAGAACATCCAGAATACACAACCCACAGAGGCAAAGTAGATTCGAGGTTATTTAGTGCTGGGGGGTGGGGGGTGGGAGGGCCGTGGGAGGTTAAAAAAAACTTTATTAAACAAAATTTCAATGGGTCTGAACAGAGGTGAACAGAACACACATTCAACATGTGTCCTACCTTTGTGGTACAGACTGAGACTACTGGAATGAAGGCAGATGTAGTGCTTGTCATCACAGCCTTCATACTTGGTCACACAAAACAACGAACCACTGCTGAACTCTAACCAGAATTCGCCATGTTTATTTTCCAACAGCTCTCCATTATCTTGCTAATAAAAAGATCAGAAAAACATAGAAGTCATTATTTAAATGCAGAAAAGTCAGAATGCCCCTTGGGTTGCTCCTTCCTGATTCAGCCTAGAAGATTCTCCCACATGGGGGCAAAGCGGTCTGATTCTCAAACCACGCAACATGGTGGCATGAAATGCTATGCAGGGTCCCCCCTGCAGAATGAATCCCTGTACTTCACCCTCCTCTCTAACAGGTAAATTACTAGTGATCACCTCAGCAGCAGAACCAGCACATTTGCCAAAAGAAGGTCCACACAAGGTCTGTCTTGTGATCCGCAGTGAAAAGCTTACTCTCCAAAGCCACCATCACTGCAGAACCTTTCTCAGGCACTGAAACAACCTCCTGCCACCTCAATGATGGCAGGTGTAACCACGGTCCATTTAAAATAAGATACACCTGAAACAACACTTTGGCTTTGCAAATCCTTACCCTGACATCTGTAAACACTGCCATTAGTCCATGGTTAATACTCAGAAGAACCGAGAGAAAACTCTGCGAGTTCTTGTTCTGAGAGTCTAGTTTTTTTTTCCTACGGGAACGATAGTTGGGATCCACAGTAGAAAAATACTGCAACGTCTCCTCCTCAGATCCACTCTCCTCATCTGTGAGAAATAAATGTCATAGTGATATGGTTTGGACAGCTATAGAAACAGAATAGCAACTGGAATATTATCACAAAAATACTTATTTTACAACCTGTTTTTTTACCAAGAATCTGGCATGACAATAAAAATGTACTTTCTGTATTTTTCTCTTTCCCACTGAACTTAAACCAATGTACATACTATCACTATAAAGATAATATATTTAACTGATAATATTCTCAATATATAGATACAAGTGGAGAAATACTATAAATTACTGTATTATAAAATATAGTTACGAGGGGAAAATATCCAAGAAACATTTTAAAATCTATCAGTTGAAAAAAATAAAATAAAATAAAATAAAATAAAATAAAATCTATCAGTTGAAAAGGTTACTACTTTACTGCTAAGCCTGGCATTTTAAGTTAGAACAAATTTAAAATATATTACCGTAGTGAACTGTGGATTTAAATGGACTAAAACTATCTTTGTTGAAGGTATTAATCAGCTGACTGGCTACAGAAAGACCAATACCATAGGAAATATTTTCAAATGTCTCCACTGGTGATGGAGCTGTTGGTTCCCACAGCAGCAAGTCATTAAAGATCCTGTGGAAGACAAAAGTTGAAAAATACGTAACTCATAGTTCAACTGAAGGTAAACTCAAGAACATGTCTTTAAGAAGTCACATGAATAATAATTTTTCTAAATGGGAAATAGAAATTAGATCCTACAAAGGGGGGTTTTCTGTTTTGTTTTCTTTTAAGTATTAATTATGTCCTTTCAATGGAAAAGTTACTGATACAGCTTGACTGCAGGACAGTGAGAAAGGAATCTGTACAATTCGGTACCTAATTAGCTATCTGCCTGGTTTTACCTATGTTGTGTACATCAAATTACATACACCTAAATGCACTTTAGAGGAAAAAGTTAATTTAAACACTGGAAACAAAGGAAAGACTGTTCACACAGGAGAGCACTCTGTAAACTATAATACACCATGCACTGTCTCATCTGACCCCACCCCACCCCCAAACCCATGGGGCAGCCAAGAATCATTACTCTCACTTCACACTTGGAGAAACTGCCTCATAAAGGTTAAGTGCCTTGCCCAAGGTCATACAGCTAATTTGTGAAAGGACTGGGGCCACAGCCCGGATTTTGTCCAGCTCCCAATTCAGCTCTCCTCCTTACTCACTGTTCCTAGAGATAACTGCTTTCTCTCTCTCCCTCTCCCCCGCCCACCCCACCACCCCAACAGAAAGCACAGCTTTCCTGGGAAGTGTGCATGGACTAAGAATGCATACAAAACGGAACAAAGAGAGGAAACCTTCTACTGGCTGCACAGCCAAGTCAATACTAGTGATTAATGGGTGATACCCATCAAGCTAGACTACCAGCACATCCTACTTTTTCAAAGAAATATCTGTCACTATTCAGATGCCCTCCTGCTCCTACCCCGCCCCCCAAGATCACCCCTGCTCTACATTTTTATAAATACTCAGACTTCACAATGTCTTCTCTGAAGCCTGTTGTTAAGATCTGGACCCACAGTGAATCCTTCACATACATAACTCTGTCATGGTGCCTACCACAGTATTTTCTTGCTTCCCCTTCCGAGCGAGACTGGAGCCTCTCAGAGAGAGGGCCTTAGGTGTTGGTCATCTTTATATGTGTGGCATCTTTATAGCACGGTGGCTGTCACGTAGCAGGCACTGAGGGTTTGATGATGAGAGGACCAGTGGGCGACTCACACGGCAGGAATGCCAAAGGCCCAGCCTCCTCGTAAAGCCTAGTGTGAATACCAATCAAGGTGCCCCCCTGGCCCTTCCTGCGAGAAGCCACTTGTCTAGGAACTTCCCGGGCCAATTCCTAAGCTTCTGAAGCCCTAGAAAGTATAAACCACCAGGACTGAGTATCGTGACTCTCAGTAGACTGAAATCCCCACCCCAAAAGCTCTCCATCTGGAACCATCAATAGGTGAAGAATACTAGGGATACGTAAGTCTCATCTCAGATACAATGACAGCTATGCCCCCAAACTGTGTGATACTGGCTCACTGCTTCTTGGATATATTGCTCACAGGACAAAGAAACAAAAGAGTCTAAACCCAGATCTTACTCTAAACTCCTCTGTAAATAAATAATGACAATAAAATGAAGCATTTTCTCAGGAAATGCCCTTCCTTTACCTTATTCCCTACAACCATTCTCTTATCTCCATAGGTAAGAGAAAGTATTAATTTATGTAAAACCTAAATATAAGTTTTATATGATTTTGCGTTTTCCTTATTTACATGTTGGTCTAAACCCAGTCTTGATATCATTAATACTGTAAAACATTGGATGAGGTTTCTAATACCAAGAAAGAAAACACTTAAGATACTTAAGGACACAGGGGCATCTGGGTGGTTCAGTTAGTTAAGTGGCCAACTCTTGATTTTGGCTCGGGTCATAATCTCAGAGTTGTGGAACTGAGCCCTGGATGCGGCTCCTATCAGCAGGGAGTCTGCTTGGGATTCATTCTCTCTCTCTCTCAAATAAATAAATAGATCTTAAAAAAAAGAGAGAGAGAGATTTAAGGACACATCACCATGATTCTGTGGCTATGAGCCTGAAACATGACAGGCAATATCTAATTTAACAAAGCTAGTGAAAATTCTTTTATATTCTAAAGGACTTCAATGGAAAAAATTCTCCTGTACCTGAGACTGTCTATCTAAAAAGAGCCCGTTGACTAAGGCACTAAAGGAAGAAACCAAGATTTTAAAATGTATGAAGTTAAGGCAGAGTTGGTTATATCTCCTGCTCAGAAAGTTATTTTAATGTATGAAAATAAAAACTAAAAATAAATTCAAAAAATTATATAGATAAAAAGGGCAATATTGAAACATTTAGCAAAACTCGAATGGGGTTTGAAGATTAAGTAATGCAGAATATTAATATTCTCATTTTCTCATTTTGATTGTTGAATTATAATTATGTGGAAGAATGTCCTTGTCTTTGGGAAATACATAAGTGCTCAGGGAGGGGCATCAGGTCAGTGGCTCTCAAACAGTTAAGGCGGGGAGGGGAAAGCTCTATGTTCTACACTTGAAACTTTTCTGCAAGTCTGGGAATATTTTAAAACTTTAAAATAATATTAACTCAAAAAAATAATAAAAATAAAATATTAACTCAAAATAAAAACAGACCTATTCAAAGCCAAATAAGGGGCAAAGAATTCACACCCTGAAGAACTTAGATATGTGATTTATAAATCCACAGGGTGAGGAAGCATTTCAACATTTATACAACTGTAGGTACCTGAGAGCCGGAGAAGTGGGCAGAGTAAGGTAGAACAGAAACGCTCTTCAGCAACCACTATTTAACCAGCTCTGCAGAAGAACACATACTCTCTCGTTCCCTGACTTGAGCAATCAACCGCCCCACCTGCCATACTGACAAGACGTCCCCCATATGCTAACCGCTGCTCCTTGGGACTACTCTCCAGCACACCCAAGAAGTCTGTTCCTATCAGGTGAGCTCTATGTTCAGTATATTCACTAAGTGTCAACTGTGTTTGGCCTCGAATGTACTCATCTCACTTGTATTTACTGTTGTAAGTATACTTTAACTCAATATTATGCTAACAGATGACCTAAATATACAGATTGAGGTGGAAAAAATCTTAAAAAACTGAGAAAGATTTTGAACTCAGATTCCTTTGAAACTATTTTTTCAGTAACTGAAAACTATAAACAAAACCTTTCAGGTATACATTATGTGAAACTTCCAACCTGTGGCTCATATTAAAAGGAAGGAAAAAAAAAAAAGGCCTTGTCTTGTATTTTAAAAAGAAGTTATAAATGAACATATTTATAAACTGAAGGTTTAAGGTGCATATTTCTGTTCTGATGTCCCAATTTAACCGATGGCCACCTGCTCAAGCAAATGCAGAAAGAGAAAGAAATGGATTAAGCTCTTCTGACCTCTGGGCTAGACCCTGAACTAGTCGTTTCGTTTTGCTCAGTCTTAGCCTTGCAGATCTGTCAACTCTTGGTAGATATTCCTAACTATAAAAAGAAGAATGGTCTAGAGATCAGTGGTTTCCCAAACTTTAGATCATGTGTAACAGCTAAAAAAAAAAAAAAAAAAAACACCTGTAAAAGCCTTCTGATATGAATTTATAAATTATAGGCTTCTACTTATATACATTATGTAGAATATAAAACAAATATAAAAATATAAATTTTAAAAGACTTAGGGTCAATTAAGCCGCCAACTCTTGGTTTCGGCTCAGATTGTGATCTCAGGGTCATGAGATCGAGCCCTGCCGTGTCAGGCTCCATGCTCAACACGGTGTCTGCTTGAGATTCTCTCTCCCTCTGCCTCTCGCACTCTCGCACATGCTCTAAAATAAATCATTAAAAAATAAAAGTTTTAAAGTTGAACAGAAGAACTAACATTTTCTTCCTCCACCTCAAATAGACTATCCTATGAATCTCATCATCAAGACAACTCAACTAAATAGATCTTTCTGGAACTTAATTTTCTGATTCTAAGACCAACAATCCTGGTCACTGGTAGGCAATAAGGAGATCCAGAGCTTATTATGAACAGTTAAGGAATAAAGGAGCAGAGATATCTGATATCAAATAAATGTACAGCAGAAACAACAGTGCAGCTTCTAAAGCTTAATAGAAATGAGAATCATGTCTTACATGAGAAGCTACTGATGACCGATACTAAGAACATCTTTTTCTAGAAAAGCACATGACCACCTTTCAGGTCTACTATAGAAGTGATTCCTTCAGTGAATGGGAATGATACCAGAGGACTACCGAGTGCTTACTGTAATGCCAGGTGCTATTCTCCGAACTTCTCAAGTGCTGTATCATCTAATCCTCCAAACAACTCTTTGAGACAGGTTCAAGTTATCATCTACATTTTACAGATGAGGAAACTGAGCTTAGGGCAGGTAAGTTGTGAAGGTCTTCCAAGTCTAGGCTCTTTTAACTCTAGAATGCTATTTATTTCAACATATTTGCTTGGTATGTATATTTAAGGACACTATATAATTCTAACAAGATGCTTTTTTAAACTCTGAAAAAAGATGCTCCTTGTACAAAGACTCTAGGATTCTGATTCTACCCCGGCACGTGCTAGCCCCCCATATAAGTTGCCCCCCTGGCACCTGCTGGCCCTCCATACAGGGGTCTCCCAACTCTTTTCATGTCACTGCACACATAGAAGACATTTACTCAGTACTCTGTGGTAAGGTGACAGAGAGCAAACAGCCAACAAAGGTGGAAGGAATAAACATCTCACATACAAGTAACCCAGTTACCAGACACACTGGTTAGGAAACTCTGCTATGACAACAGCCCATCGGAACGGTTAACAGTTTTGTAATCAACACCACACAAAGTACCCAGTGATGGTAGATAATATTAAAGCAAGGAAAGAAAAGGGGCAAGTGGGGAAACAGGGAGACAGTTAGGCAGAGAAGTCCAATCCCAAAGACTCAACTAAATGTGTTTAAACTCACCTATTATATTTTAAAAAAAAATAAATAAACTCACCTATTATAAAGCTTCTCATAAAAGCTTTTATTAGGTAGTGTTACATGAATGCTGGGTAACGTAAGTTCCAGCACATAGTGAGAATTGCTGATTGCTTTATCCTGAAATTCTGTCATTTCCACAGGGTCTCCTGGCATCACCATCTAAAATACAATAGTTTGGTGCAAAAAAAGCATGAAATAACCATTTCATGTTTAAAATAACAGGAGCATCTTCTTGCCCTATCCATGGGACTTTATATGTAAACAAACAAATAAGCATGTAATTTTTAACCAAGAAAAGAAATACTATTCAGTCTTAGAGTTAAAAGCGTAGCAATAACAGTATACAAAGTACTTCTTCAAAAAACAAAGAATGAAAATGACTGCTATATGGTAAAGGATAATTCCTTCATTGCTCACTTCATTGCTCATTTTACCTGCTCGTTTTCAAACATGACTCTACGAGAAGAGAAGGGAGAAGGGGCTGGTCTTCGCAGATCACAAACATCCTTCAGGGAATGAGCACCCCCTTCCTCCTCTTCCTGATAGCGGCCATCACTCTCTTCTTCCTCAGCTGCTATTCGCTCCAAAATGGAATGCACAGCTGGTGGGTTTAATTTCAGTACAATTCTGACAGCAAAGACAATTTAAAAAATCAAGGTCTAAGTGTGAACAGCAAGGCTTTAACTTTCCTGCACTCTGATACAAAGACCATCGATGATAGGATTCAGCTTTTCTACAAAGTCTAATTGTGTCTCATGTAACCACTTCTGAGTGTGCTATTAACTTCAAAATGTAGAACAGATGAAACAAATAAAAGAAGGGTTATTAACATTTCGTACTTGGCTAACTGAAAATCTGACCTTGTGAGGACAAAAGATTATCTTTCAATTTCATCAATAGCCGACAAATTTTACCTAACAATTCTATTTATTTTCATGAAACCAAATGCTTCTGGGGTCTGTTGTGCTATTACAGAATATTGCACACCTAAGAGACCTTCTATCATAGAAATTATTCAAATGGAAAAACGAAGACTCACAAGAGAATAACTTAGAACTGCAACAACAAAGTAGCATTTTCCTTCAGGAATTTCAATAACAAAAGGCTTGCCTTGTTGCTGTATTGAAGCTACAAACCTGAAGTAAAGGAGCCCACGCCCTGGGCCCCCGCTTTCCTACTCCATGCACATCACTAGCAAAGGCTTTGCAGTTTCCTTCCCAACTCTGTCGTGCGGAGGCCTGGTGCCCTCAAACCAAACCTCTGTGGGGCATCTACGACGTGTTTTTCCCCTTAGTTAAGTGGTGCCAGTTGGCTCCTGTTATGAACAATCGTGACTGTTTCCTAATTTATAGACATCTAAATGTAACTTGTGCTTCCAAATTAACTGAAGTAGATCCATTTATGATGAAAACTCATGCACTAAACCGCTCATTATCAGGCACGTCCCGATCACACCTATCCTAACAGCCTGCTAGGACTGATACACAGGGGCAGGTGTAAAAAAGGCTGGCAGGAAAATGGCACAAAAAAAGGTCACTTTAATTCTCAGATGTCAAATATTCAGTTTTCAATATAATAAAAAGTCATTTCAAGTAAACTAAGTCCTTTTAAATATATCCAAGCCCACTATCAGGCTATTAAATTAATAGTCTTGTTAACAGTATATTATAATGAATAATTAACAAATGTTAATAATTAATAATCTCTAATAAATATACTTTATTAATTCTTCTAAGAAATCCTGAAGCAGTGGTTCTTAACATCCACCTGCACACTGGAATCACCTGGTGTAATTTTTAGACTATCCTGATGCCCAGGCTCTATCCCAAAATCTCAGGGTGGGGCCCCTGAGTATTTTGTAAAAGTTTTATAAAAGCCCAGACTTGAAAAACAGTGTCCTGGGGCGCCTGGGCGGCTCAGTCATTAAGCGTCTGCCTTCGGCTCAGGTCATGATCCCAGGGTCCTGGTATCCAGCCCCGCATCGGGCTCCCTCCTCAACGGGAAGCCTGCTTCTCCCTCTCCCACTCCCCCTGCCTGTGTTCCCTCTCTCGCTGTCTCTCTCTGTCAAATAAATAAATAAAATCTTTACAAAAAAAAAAGCAGAAAAGAAAAACAGTGTCCTAAAGCAATCATGGACTATAAAATTGACTTAACAACTAACCAAATGATGCCATATAACTCTTCTACTGTAGCTCTGAACTATTTTTTTAAATGGTTAATGATTCTTTTGTGCCTCTAATTAGACGGGGTAACTTGAGACCAGGGAACACATTTTATACCTCCATCTCTCACAGTATTGACACATACCTTTCATAGAGTAGTACACTCAATATGGATTTTTCAATTTAATTTGTCCATCTTTCTCTGCGTTCTCTCATCAGGGCTGAGTATGTTTAGTTTAAATTAACAGCCAAAATGCCGATTAAAAGTACTACAGCAGGGGCACCTGGGTAGCGCCATCGGTTAAGCAACTGACTGTCGGTTTTGGTCCAGGTCATGATCTGAGGGTCCTGTGATCAAGCCCTGTGTGGGGCTCCAGCTCAGCACGTGGAGTCTGCTTAAGATTCTCTCTCCCTCTCCCTCTGCCCCTGCTTCCCCCCTAAAAAATAAATCTTTAAAAAAAAAAAAAGTACCACAGCATTTTTTTGAAAGGGTCTCATTAAATGTCTACCATATACACCTGCTAACTCACCGTGGCCAGTCAAAGTCATCTGATGATGCTGTATCTCCATCTACTCCACTAGACACATGGAAAAACTTAATACATGGTTCTCCTTTATCTTCCTGGAATGACCCTAATAAAACAAGACTGGTTAACTAAAATGCATTTCTTTGCAAGTGCTGAAAGAAAAGATAGTTTCCTCCTAACATAAGCAAAGATCTCCTCAGTCAGGGACATAGTGCAACATTAAGTTGCACAGCACTCATTCTTTTGTTCCTATTTCATGGGTACATGTGGGGAGACAGGAGGAGCAGATAGATAATGATGATGTTTTCTATTCAAACTCAAATTCTTAGGTACCAAGTGTAATGTGTCAGGTACATAATCATGACATAGTAAATTTGGCAGTTGCCACTTACTGCCACTGAATGCTTATTCTACATAAAAGTTTATGCAGTTAATCTAAGAACATAGAGACAATAACTACATTTCTTAAATGTTTTGTACCAAGCACTGTAAGAACTACTTCCATTCACAATAATCCTATGCATGCTTTTTCAGTCCATTTTACAAAGAAAGACTTTCCTCCAGAATAATGAGTTTCTTCCCACTGTAGATAAGAGAAGATCAGACAACCCCTAAAGGCCCTTTCATGAAGTCATAATCAGCAAGGCAACTGTAAATCTCTCTAAAGATGTGTAAAACTCAGAACAAGGGAAAAAAACTTTGCAGCCTATTCCCTGAGATGGAGGAGCAGGATATGGTGGCACGGGGAGGGTGTGGTTAGAGAGGGTGAAGTGGCAGAGGCAGTTGTTTATGAACCACAGAATAAAACGTCAGAATCTTCCAGAGGTCCTCATACACCTGGTTCACCCTAAGTCAATATATATTCTGTTAGATGACAAAAGCAAATACAGAAAAACTGTCAATAGGTTTTACAAAGGAAAGTCACCAAAGATTAGTATGATGATTGAAAGCTCAAGTGTGAGACTTCGGTTGGAATCTTGATTCTGTCATTTACTACCACACGGTCTTGGAAGGTACCTCTTAAGTCTATGGATTCCTCACTTATAAATGATAAAAAATAGGGCGCCTGGGTGGCTC